CTACGAGTTTGAGTTACATAGTGAGACCTTGTACCAAATAAATAAATAAATAAATAAATAAATAAATAAATGTTTATTTATTTATTTTAAAAAACCAGAAATGTTACCTTCTAGCTCTTTGATTGCACATCTCAATCACTCTTTAATCCAGAGGAATTCATTGTTTTAAATGTATATACTGTTTTACTACCAAAAATTGTAAGGCAAAAGACTGAAATGCTTAGTCCTCAGTACTTCTGTTTAGTGTTTGGCCTGACCTTTTATCCCTTCTTTTGCATTCCTCCCTGCCCTGCCTGCTCCTGTTTCCTTTCTATTTCTTAGGTCCCTCAAGACCCACTGAAGTTTTATAAGAAGATTTACTTCTGCCGCAGTTGCCAGCTGTACCTGCCTTCGACCGAGTTTGCTGCTTCTTCTACCTCACAGCACATATTCAAGTGTCGTCAGTGCATCCACCTTGAGAACGAGGCGCAGCGCCGGGAATCCTTTTTGAAATATAAATGTTTACTCCAACGGCTCTACTCTTCAGAGGCCAATTATGATGATGGCGCCCAGGTTGCCTTCCTGATGCAGGTGTGTTCAATAAGGGCTGCCAAAGCCTAGAGTCTGTCTCTGAAGGAGGTGGTCCTCTAATGGGTTGGAGTGACACAGAGTGCAGTGTAGCTGAGCGTATTCTCCAGTCAGAAGTGCTGTGTTCATTTCTACTGCAGACAATGGCTGAATTCCTGACTTTTACATGGAGACATGTTCTTGGTATTTAAATACTATGGTATATCCTGGGTATGCACCAGTGAATCACACTTTGTAGGTTAGAAGACAGACATTGTTATGGTTTGTGTCTCCTTGTCCCCCCAAAGCCTCATGTAGTCATGGGGTGAGGACTTCTAGAATTTGTGTCAACTCATGATCCACTGGGATTATGTGTGATCCAAGGCTGGGATTATGGGTCTTAGTACTGCTGGGGTTACCCATAGGTGGGTAAGTACTGAGAAGTACCCATAGGTGTGAGTACTTCCCCTACCCTGGGGCAGGCAATTTGCATTACAATGTAAGGTGGGAAGAGAAGCCAGCAGCTTGAGCTGCTGCTACTTCTCCCTTGCTCTCTTGCTCTTTGCCGCCACCATGAAAGGTTGCTTTCTGCTCTGTGCTGCTCTGCGTTGGACCCAGCTGTGTATGAACTGAAACCTCCAGTAACTGTGAGCTAAATAAACCTTTCCTTCCTTCATTTTGAGTGTCAGGTGTTTGTCCCAGCAACGAGAGAAGAGTAACTAAGACAGACATTAAAATTATTATATGTTTCTGCAATAACAAATAATGGTGCTATAGGAGGAAATACAAAGTACTTTGAGGTATCAAAAATGATAGACTGTATTTTGTGGGCCAGCAAAAGCTCCCTTGAGGATATGACCTAAAGGTGAGACAAAAGAATAGGTAGGTAGGAGTAGGTAGGAGATCATCTGGTGACCTTGGTAAATAGAGCATCATGGAAATAGCATGCATGGGCACCTGGAGGCAGAAGTGAGATTGTTCTGTTGCAGGAGAGGTGACATGTAATGTGGGAATCTAATTTTTAGATTGGGGAGTTAGGATGCATTTAGTGCTGTTAAAAGCAACCAACCAACCAACAAGCCAGGTATGATGAAGGGATGCAAGCACAGGGGCAGAACACTGGAGCCAGCATAACATATCCTAGCTCCATGGTGTAACAGCTCTGCCTGTGGTTGCACAACGTGCTGAAGTTGTATGCACTGCAGGCTGCCTGTCTGTGAAATGGGAACATCAGCAGTACCTACTCACAGAGAAATTATATGAACATTAAATAGATGATTGACTATAGGGCAGGACAGTGTCTTTATACAATTATTTAAATGATGTGAACAAAGGAATATAAGAGGATATGACCCTAAAGCATGGTGTGTGGGTTGGCCTTTGTTAAGATGAGGATTTCCAACTCTATTGAAATGAAGGAGGAAACAATCATTCCATATCCTATGGTCTATCAGATTCCTGATGGTCTATCTCCCTTTGTTGAGAAATACTATGAAGGAGAGAACCACAGAACATGTACAATATTTATAGTGGTCTCCCAGTCACTGCAAATAGGGGAGGACAAGCTGTGAAAACTAAATCAAAACTGAAAAGATGCATGTGAAGGGCTTTTAATGACTGGGTTAGCCCCTTCCCAGTCACTCAGACAAAATACCCAACATCTACAGACTAAAGGAGGGCAAGTTTATTTTGGCTCAGGTTTTGGTCAACACTGGCTGGATCCATGGCAGAACAGCACAATAGAAGAAAGCCATGAGGGATGTGGCCAGGAAGCAGGTGAGAGGAGCAGAGCCAAGGGTGACATTGGGATCTTCCAAGACACACCTCCTGTGACCTGCCCCTCTTGACCTACCTCTGAATGTGAAGTTTTAGGGAACATTTTACATTGAAGCCATAATAATAACACAGTTAAGATGAGTGGCTGTGACTTTATGTGGTATCAGTCTGGCTAACTACAAGAATAATGAGGCGCATTGAAATCATTAGAGTTACATACATGTTTTATAAGAAAAACATAAGAAAAAAGGGAAGGATAGGGTACTGGCAATACTATAATCAAAAAGGTAGAATGTGTAATATAGGCTATAAATAGGAAGATAAAAATCAGAAAAATGCTAAAATATGGGAACATAAAAAGGAACAATAAGCTGATAATTCCAATGAAGCCAGGGAATTGCTGCATACAGTCAGACTGAGATGTCTGAGTGGCAGATTTCAGATGGGAGGAAGCTGAATGATGAGAAATGTGGGCTGTGATGCTGAGAAGGAGGAGAGAAGCAAGGGTTGTTGATAGCAGGCTGCTCAGGCATTTATACTGAGGCTGGTGAATGAGAGCAGTTCCAGAGAATACAGTGAAAGAGCTGGAGGGAGGAAGGGAAGTAGGAATGCCAGCAATTAGATGAGTGGGAGGCTGCTGCTACAAAGATGAGTGGAAGAATGAATGAGCTCTTTGGCTCATGTAGAAGTCCTAAGAAATCGAGGCATGGTGGATATGGGTAGTTTATGGGATTGTCAAGGTAAACCCTGAACGTTGGCAGCTGTTGTATGGGAACTGAAGTTCTGTTCCTATTGATAATCGGGGAGCTCCATATTTGAAAATAAATATGATGTCATGGTGTCACTGAGTTCAAATGTGCGGCCCTACACCTTCTCCTAGGCTTTTTTTGGCTCTTACAGATGGATAATGAGTAGACATTTGACCTGTCTATTCTCTGCAGTCCCAGTTGGACTGTACTCTAGGTGATACTTGATAGGTGTTTTTAGGTGATTGGCCCAGCAGAGAAACAGGCAGAAGGAAAAAGGGAAAGCAGCTTTATTTTCTTTGAGGACTTGGGAGAGAATGTGGGGAAGGATGAGGAATTGTCTCTCTTGACTAGATAAAGGGAGGCTGAGGCTTTTATGGCCTTTTGCCGGGGGAGGGGTTTGAAGGGCATGTTTAGATATACCTGAGGGAGCTGATGGGGGCTTCCCTGAGGCAGAGGGATGGGTAATAGTAAATTATGTTTTGGGCTGAGTTGGAGAAGAAGGGGGAGGTGGTCTTTTTTTTCTATAATTTTATTGAGAAATAAATAGCAATGAGACAGTTTCGAATCAAATTGGTAGGACAGTTCCAATAATTAACACATTGCATACTGCCTTCCTAGTGGCTATTTGTTGTACAAGATGCAGACATGATATCCTATTTACAAACACTATTAGAGCAAATCCTTTTATGCACTGAATTAAGAGAATGTAGCTGTATGTCTATCCTAACCATTTTGAATACACAGATACAAAATGGTCATTCATCTGTATCCCCTTTTTTGTTTAGTTCTGTCATTTAAATATTATAGGTGTGTGAACTCAGCAAAATATTCCAAAATTGTCCAGTAGTCCATAACAGCGTTGGGTCTCCCACTTGGCTGGCAATGTCAGAAGCTGTTGACCTGAGGGCATCAGCCATATTAGATGACCACGATAATGATTTTAGCAATTTACGCTAGGGCCCAAACCTATCAAAACTAAATAATGACAGAATAACATTTCCACTGGTTTCTTTTTTGCTCAAACTTTGCAAGACTTCTATTCAGTTTTAAAATACAAAAGAAGTTTGAAATTTTCCACGAGGGAGGGTTGAGCCATGAGAAATACCCCATAGCTACCTGCCTTAAAAAGGGCAAGAGGAGACAGAAGATGAGGCCAGTTTCTGTCCTTTTTCTTACCTTTCCCTGAGCAGAAACTACGGGCACTAATAGTATCTAATCACATATTTTGGTTTTAGAAAAAGATGGGATAAAACTTTTAAAATGTTCTTTAGTGGGATATTATTCTATTCAATTAATATTTCTTGCTAGAAACATTACACAGAAAATCAATCAATCAATACATACATAAATAAAGCACATATGTTCCTTGTAGAAAAGCATAATCTGTCCTCATGTCCATGTACAGATGATCATTCAAGGCAGGGGTTCAATCTCCTGGCAAGACTTATTCCGTGTTCATGCAAAGGGAAACAAACGTGATCATGCACGCCGTGTGCTTGCACCCCCACCCCAGCAAGACTGCCGGAGGCTATCTGGGGACAGCAAGGGAGCTCCCAGCATCAACAACTTACTAATGAGGGCAACCCACAAGGAACTATTGATCTCAATCACGTTGTATTCACAGACTATCAAATAGGTCAATTTTTCTGTAATTAAAGTCATTAACTAACATTAACTAAATTAGATTTAATATTAAATGTGAAATAGGCAATGCTATGAATTAAAAATTTAGGTGTTTAAAAAGTTTTCAAATGTAATGTGCTTTGTTAAAAGTCTCAAAATCAATAGCTTTCATATATTTTGATCATGGTCTATATAGAATATGTGCTTTTATCAAAATTTAGCATGGGCATGGATAGCAATATTAGTGATAATAATAACCAACAATCAAACAGTGCTTATATGACTCTGCAAACTTTATGTGTTGATTGATCTAACACAATAATTCTGTGAAAATAGGAATTATTTTCATTCTGTGGATGAAGAAATTTAAGCTCTGAGAGGTTAACTGACTTTTCCAAATTTACACTAGTGAGTACCATCACTAGAATTCAAACCCAGGCCATCTATTATTGATCCAGAGACATAATTTTCCCAAAATAATGTTTACCTATATTAGTATAGATGCCCTCTGATATTTTCTACTGAATCCAGATCTACTCATTCTAATTTTCCTTTGAAGAATTTGGTATCACCTAAGAGGTAACAACTCATAGTTTGAAAACTACAGATTAACAATGATTACTGCACAGCAAGTTCAAGGCCAGCCTGAAACACAGTGAGATCCTGTGTCAATAAATAAATAAATGAAAAAGAAAAAAAAAAAAGAAAGCAAAACAAAACAAAAAAGGAAGGATAGAAAGAGAAGAAAGGTTAAAAGAAAGTGAGAGCTCTTGTACCTACAGATTTTGAGTGTTTGGGTAGTCAGCTGGTTTCCGAGAGCCACACGCACTGTGGAATGGGCAGTACTACTTATCGTGGCTGCAGCACTTTCAAGTCTAAGGCTTACTGCACAGTGGGGCCAGTTCATTACCAACCATACAGTCATGGGCACAGTTGACCTTTACATGCAAATAAACATCTCATTCTCTTTGTAACATTCTTAAAATTATTATTACAATCAATGCAATTTACAGCAAAGAGTGTAAATAAGATACACATTTTGAATATAACTGAAAATATATAAAACATATTTTAATGTCCTATAGATTCTTTTGCATGGCAGCTGTTATAGTATTGTCTTTTCTTATCTTAACTACAAGCTAAGCTGTGGTAGTAGAGCTTAATACGATGAGTTATGCATTTAGGAAACTCTGTAGTAGGGTATGGTGACAAGCTCTTTTTCTTTTAAAATTTAGTAAATTTAAATTTTATAATGCTCATTTTATAGAAAATATTCATGCTTTCTTACCCAAGTTTTTAAAAAAAATGTTAATTCTGTTTCCAATGTTTATGCTTTGTCAGGTGTACTCTTTTCTTACTGTTGTAAGTTTTCATATATAGAACTAATGATAGAAAGTGATTCCAAGGCACTTGAGTGTAACACAGTGATAAAGCACTTGCCTTAGTCCATTGGAGATTTGGTTGAAGTCTAGGTTTAATCTGTTTTCATTAATGCAATTGTTAAGTTTTTTAAAAGTTGAAATGCTTATTTCATTTCCATATCTTGCCTTATTTTCTTTAGAACAACAAAATCTTATATATGACACTAAATTTCATCTTTATTAAGTCTCAGATTCCTCACTTGTAAAATGTCAGGAAATAGCTGTAGAAAGACCTTAATCATGGTCCTAAGAATAGTCATCAATGGTTTTTACAAAATATATTTAGTGCCATATATTTAGTAAGGTATTACTAAGGTATAAGTAAGTAGCTCTGTAAGAAATACATTCAGGTTGGGGCTGGTGAGATGGCTCAGTGGTCTAAAGCACCTACTTGGAACAAGCTTGGCAAAGCACAGGGACTGTGGTTCAATCCCCCAGCACCACATGCCAGCCAGCCCTGCCCCCTGGTGGGCTGAGCTGGCCACACACACACACACACAATAAATAAATAAATAAATGTTAAAAAAAAAAGAAAGAAATACATTCAGGTTACTGGAGGTGAAAGACGGAGTCATAGTGTGAGATTCATGGTGTAGTGAGGCCACAATGGGCAGACATTTGGTGACATAGAAGGGACTATTGTACGCCACTGCAGCCTTATGAAAGAAGGATGCTCATTAATGCAGTCAATATAATTTAGTTATGTTCTCAAGTGCCTGTGCTCTTTTTTTTTTTTTGCAGAACCAGGGATTGAACTCAGGCCCTTGCGCTTGCCAGGGAAGCACTTATCCTATTAAGCCATCTCCCTGGTCCCTTCTCAAGTAATATGATTTTAAAGCATTTTAATTTAGAATAAAAGAAAATTACTTTCAAACTTCCTTTGTCTGCAGCTCCAAGATATTCAATACCTGATAGAGAATATCTGGGCTCCCCAGTCTGTGCTCAGTGCCTGGGATGATCTCAATGACCTGGTCATGGTCAGGTGGGATAAGTCCCTGCAGTGGTCTCCCTGGAACTGCATTCTCCTCACCAAAGATGAAGCCGCTGCTCATCTCAAGCTGGAAAGCATTGAACAGGTAAGAAGAGGAAGTTTATTTGGGAAGTTAATTTAGTCATTGGAGTGGTTAGATGTAATTTGATTACCTTTGTAAATGCATTCCATAAATGACCCAAATGTATCCACTGGGCTAGGAGATAGAACTTGTGGGTTAACAGTAACAAAATATGTGGATGGTGCATATTGCAGAGATTGAAATAAAAAGGTATAGAAGACACATAGCAGGTTAACAAATATGAATGTCTTGCTTATCTAAGTGTGACACCACATTCTTCTTTCTCCCAACAGCAAGTTCAGGCATGTTTATACCACAGTGAATTCCATGAAGGCAAGGACCTGTTCCACTTTTTTGCATCTGCAATTCTAAAATGTACGATAGTAGCTGTCACAAGTTTAGCATGTATTTTTTGAATAATTAATGAGCTATTACCACCAGACAGGCATTTAGAATCCAAAATTTGTCCTCCTTTGATTAATCCTCATGAGTCTACCTAAAATCACTCAGTTGTCAAATGAACGTTTTTCATAATTCTGCGTGCTTCATGGCAATCATGCTGATGAGGCATCATTTTTCATTTGCTTCCAGCTAAGTAGGACTGGAGAAAGCTCTGCAGAAATTAAATGCCATTTAATTTCACTAACTCACAAGATACAATCTGTAAAACATTTTGATGAACAAAATCGAAGGGTCTCTGAAGAATTTGTGGAGTGCTCCATTCACTCTAAGTGTGCTTGGGATCCCAAGGACTGGTATTAGTTCTCTGCCTTCAACTGATTAAATTGCTGTGCCTTCGAGTCCATGCAAGATGCCAGGAAAATAAAGAAATGACATTATGCAATAGTTAATTTGAATAGTAGTATTCCCTGCCTCATGTTATTTATTTTTAATTTTTTGGAGGAAGGAGATATAAAGAAAAGAAACTAGTTAAGCTTTTAGCTGCTTTTTTTTTCCAGTAATTTTTTGAAGCCAGGCTAAAAAAATTCACTCTAGGGATTGAAAAAGGACAGCAACAAATTGAAGCTGTGTTAAATGCTATACTTGGTGTACTAAGCTGCCTCATAAATATTTTATCACTGGAAGACAAGCCAATTCTAGCAGTATCATTTCATCTAGGACGTACAATGAGACTGAAGTTCGTTCCCAAAGCTGATATTCCAGCGCTTCTTCAATTAATCCGTACAAATCCCTCTGTGTATATAATCAAATTATAGTGGTATCCAATTAAATGTTCTGTTCACATGCATTTTGAACTTCAAGATGCCAATCTCTCTGAATTTCTGTAAATAGGGCAAAGAAACAACCAAAGTAAAAAAAATTGCACTTTTTATGTGTTAGGCCTGTTGTAATTATTTAAATATTAATAGTCAGTCCAGTTAAAGAATAATTTATGTTTTGCAGCAAGTTAAAGCATTTCCAGAAATTTCTTAGTACACAAAGGAATTTGCTTTCCCATGGTGTAAATAGTCTTGAAATTTAGAATAATCTTGACTTCCTCGAATTTCACAAGTTATAAAAAGGCATGGAAAAAGTTGTCTATTCTGTGAATTCGCTCAAGAGATGGAAGCTAGAAAGAATCATAGACTAAAGGTTAAGTCTGTGATTAGTAACTAAAAGTTAGTCTATGATTAGTACTAACTAAAAGCTAGTGCTAGGGCCCAGGGAGATGGCTCAGTGGAATAAGTGCTTCCCTGGCAAGCACAAGGGCCTGAATTCAATCCCTGGTTCCATGAAAAATAAATACATAAATAAATAAATTAGTGCTGACCCAGTTCTAACAACCAGCAGGACATTGCCACCTCCCTCTTTGTTTCATCATTTTTGATAAGATTAGGTAAAAATATGGAATCATGATCTTCATTTCTTGCATTATATCTGCCTCCCCTATATGGAAAAAGGCTAGGGATGGTTGATAGGTGAGTCTTTCCACTATTAAAAACAACAATACTTAAAAAGCTTTTTTGGGGTGAGTGAGACAGCTCAGCAGACTAAGCACCTGCTTGGCAAGCACAGGATCAGAGTTCTATTCCCGGTCCTGCCTGCCATGCATGCCTGTAATCCCAGCGCTGGGAGGCCGACAACAGGAAGATCACTATGAGTCTGAGCTGCATAGTGAGACCCTGTAGCAAATACAATAAAAAAATAAATGAATGAATAAATAAATAAATAAATAAAAATAAAATATGTCTAGTTGTCCTCCCAAAGCCTCATGCAGTCATGGGGTGGCGTCTGGAGTTTCTGATTAATTCTTGATCTAGTGCAGGGCTTGTGTGTGTCAGTGCTAACCCTGGCCCTGGGGTGGGTAATCTGCATTACAGTGTAAGCAGGAGAGAAAGGCTTGCTAGCTACCACAGCTGCTGCTACTCCCTTTGCGTTTTGCTCTTTGCTGCCGCCATGAACGGCTACTCTCTGCCTTGTGCCACTCTCCCTGGGAGCCAGCTGAGTACGGACTGAAACCTCCACAAGCTGTGAGCTAAAGAAACCTTTCCTCCCTTCATTCTGGGTGTTGGGTATTTCGTCCCAGCATTGAGATTACAGTAACTGAGACAGTCAAATTAAGAAAAGTCACTTCAGTACAGGACACATTGCTGTTAATATCCCTCAAACTATTTCTGTCGCTCAGAACACACACTTATCTATCCCACCATTCTGGCCACTTTCTGAAATAGTTTTAGAAGTCTTCTTTTATGAATATCTTTACAAAATGTGCTAAAAATATGTAAATGCTGCTGCCATTTGCTATCCAGCAAAATGACAGGCTTGTAAAAGTATTATAGCGTGTCTTCTCCCCCTTTACATCATAGATCTGTCATTGTATAACCTCTGGTTCTTCCAGATCAAAATGACATGAAAGGTAGACATTTTGAATTCAGGACATTAAGGCAGCGACAGTGGAAGAGAGAGCCTTGAGAGCAGCTTCCGAAAGTCGCAGGCATGATGGGGTTAGTGTGTTCAAAGGAGTGAGACTATATTGACGGGGATTCGTGGCAAGGTGTGATTTATTGCAATGAAATTTTCTAGCTTTTTATGCAAATGCACAGCATTTTCTGATCATACTTCACACATATATGTGTGAGTACATATATTCATGAAAACTTCTTCCCAGTTACCTGATCATGCCCCGCTCAAATGCAGGCTGAAAGCTGGATACATCCTACCCTGTAAAAAGGCAAACCTATGGGTACAGATGGAATTAAGAATAAATATGTACTGGGTCGGTAACTTCCAGGGATTTTGATTTAGAGGGACTGGCAAAAGTTTTCTGGACTAATGCATCATAGGAATTGAGCCCTACAAGAAAATACACAAAATGAGAAAAAATGTGTTCTGGGATGAATGAATTGATAAGCAAAAACACTCATCTATGACAGTTTTACCCAGCAAATATATCTGCAACTCTTAATTAAGATTTGGTTTTCTTGTCTTTGCAGGGATATGGACGTGTCTTTATTCACAAAATCAAGCACAAACATATTCTGGCTAAGAACTACTTCCGTCAGATTCCAGTGCTGGCATCATTTATACTTGACGATGGTGAAATAGAAGAGATTAGAAGTAAATATCACGTAGACACTACACCAAAAATTATACAAGCCCAGACGCCTTGTCCTTAGAGGGCCTGGAAACATTTGTTTGATGAGAAAATTGCCTACTGCTCATAGAGTAATACAGAGGTCACATCATATGAAAGTGAAAGTTTTCTACTTTTTATAGTACTATAAGTTATATGAAAACATCGCTATATGGATATTTGATTGTTAAGCAGTTACTGTTAAACTGCCCTGCAATATTGTTACTAAAATTAATGGTTAAAAGTAAAGAGACCATTTTGTTTTTATGAATTTTCCACATTAAGGTTTTAATCAATTAAATCTTTATAGTTAAAACAGAGTAACCAAAGAAACCTAGGCCCAACTTTCAATGCAATTAATCTATTTAAAATAAAGTATCACTATAGGAGCATAGTATATGAATGAGATAAATATATAGAATTCTCTCCTTAAAATCTTTCTAAGTAGGTTAAAAGAACTTTATTCTCATACTCAGATTTGAATATTTGCCTCTTGTTCTCCACTTTTACTTTGTACCCTCTTCATATATCAATAAAACAACTGAAACTATGAAGAAACACAAAAATTGGCCTGGTATGCTAGGAAGGGAGGTAAACTGGAACTCTTGTGCCATGGTGGGAGGGAGCAACCCCCTGGGGCAAGGTCGAAGCTGTGCAGGAAGAACAAACTTGGTCAAGTCAACTATGACAACGTTCTTCTCCAATAAACCAAGGGCGTAAGCTTGACTATGCAAATACCAGGACCTGTGATGGGAACAATGGCCTGCCAGTCTATCTCAACAGAAAAGAGGAGGCACATTTGAATAGCATAATTCAAAGGGGGTTTTATTTACAAAACAGCCTATTTTTAAATGTGGGCAGTATGTAAGCTAGAGGAATAGCACAGGAACTCAGAGCTGCTATGATATGTGCCATATCTACTTGTAGTCTTAAATGAGCTTGGGGAGAGAGAAGTTGGGACTGTAGAAAGAGAGGATAAAAAGGTAATTTTGATCAGTGACTGGTTTTCACGGGAACAGCCAATCTTGTTGAAAGAGAAAAAAACATCCACTTTCATCTTCCTTCTTCCAGTCTCTGGCTTGGGTTTCCCATTGGCAGGACCCAAGAGGAGAGCAGAAGGAGAAGTCATAATTCCTATGGCTTCTGGGCAAAAAGCAAAGTAGAAAAAGGTGCAGTAGCACTAGAGGGCTAGAGAGTAGCTAGCTAAGGAAAGAATGAAAAATACAAGTGTATAATTGAAATAATGGGATTCCACTCACAGCATAATTATAGAAAGACATAATAACCCTTCTTTGTATTCTAATCAGTAATTAATGAGGGTGCTCTTTCAAGTTTCATGGCCAAAAACTTCAAACTAAATATTTGTCCTATGTAAATATTTCGCAACACTGTAGCAGCACATTTTCGAGGATGCCTACAATTTTTCTTTCCATAACAAAAGTACAGCCCCTGGCAATTGTTCAAGAACTAAACATCCAGGGAGAAAGTGTTATAATGCTGTTATTTTCATAGACAATCCAGACATTCTGGAATCTTTCCAAACAACAAATTACAGATGAAACCAGAATAGGGACTATTTTCACCATTGGTAAAAGGGCAGCAGTGCGACACAGACACATCCAGGTTCACACTAGATGTAAAATAACAGATTTTCGCAGCAAAGTTCAGAAGAATTTAATAGCTCTAAGAAAGGAGGACTGGAAAGATAGTGTAGTGGTTGATCAGATTTTGTCAACTTGAGAAAGTTAAAAGCTTATATAAATCATTTCAGCAATTCCACATCCTAGGGTATGGAGGTTCCACCCTAGAGTGACTCATTACTTAAAGAGTATAAACGGGGATTGAGGAAGGATGGAGGTTCCATTTTCTGGGAGGAGCTCTGATCTTCTACAGTCAGCTTGAAGGTAGTCTCCTGACTTCTAGCGCAGACTCTTTGGCTTCTGGCTTGGATCCTTCAGCCTTCCAGTGTAGACTCATCAGCCTTCCATCACAGACCCACTGGCCTCCTGATGCAGGCTTGCATGAAACCCTACAGTGAGCTCCAGACCCTGGACTGAATCCTTCAGTGTCCAGTGTGCAGATGCCCTCTGCACGCTTCCTTATAGTCTCTGTGGCTGACCATCATATGCCAATCCTGTAGTTTCTTACACATTTGTATATCTTGTATCTGCTCCTCTAGCAAAGCCCAGATAGACACAGATAGCAAGTTTGTGTGGATGCTGAGGGGGTAGTCAGAAAGAGACATAAGATATTTTAAGAACTAGAACATTGGCTCATAGGAATAAAAGATTTGTGGATTAGAACTAAGAAGATTGAATAATAAATGTGGGAATTGAAGTAAAGATAAAATTTGGGGTATTTATTGTGGTGGCCTTCCCTTTATGTACCTGAGACCACAGATCTGGGTATGTGGTCAACTCGCACTACAACTCTGAAGTCTGGAAGTCATTCTTTTTCCTCCATAGGCTGACAAGTGAATAGTATCATTATGTAGCTAGCTTTGCTTTTTCTTATTGATTTTAAGTCATATTTGCTTCTTTATAAACAGTCTTTTTCTTAAATACTTCTCAAAACAAGCAGTTTGAGTGTAACAAGTAGTTCCTGCTGGACCCAAGTAGAAGCAGGAATTGGTCCCAGGAAACTGACCTGAAAAATGGACTCATATGTGTGGATTGTTGACGCATTTGAAAAGCATATAGATGACATCCTTGCCAGGCAGAGAGGACAGTGAAATTATGCAGCACACAGTAGCATCGTACTCAGATTATCACCAACGGTGGCACAGTATGGGATGCAGATGGAGAATAAAATGCCAGGAGATGCAGTGACTGCAGCCATTGGTCACTTCAATGACAAGGATTGTGGCAGAAGTACCTCTTATTCTACAGTAGATTTATTTTTAAAAAGTTAAATTAAGGGCATTGAATGGCCAATGTAAGACTAACAATAACTGAGAAAGCCTTTATGATAGCTATAACATATTCCTTATTTCCTGTATATGCAGGGAAAGCACAGCTAGGATTAAGTCTGGAGCCTAACTGTAAAATTTTCAGGGCTGTCTTCAACTAAATTTGTGCTTCTTTTAGATTTTAGGCTAATAGAAAGATACTGGTAAGGAAAACAAGGGGTAGTCTGGTCTGAAATAATATGTACACTGGAAAAGCATGTAGAAAAGCAGATTCTAAGAGTATTAGACTAAAAAACAGTGAAGTGAATATTATATACATCCAAATTTATGCTGTTGCCTAGAATGTGGGATTTAACATGTTCAAAGTCTGCATAATTGTTGGATATATACACTGAAGATGAGACTCAGAAATGGCTGATAGCAATGAGCTTGAAATGCTAGAGTTTTAAACACCATTGCCTAAGGAAGCTGGGGCAGATCTACCATGAGAACCTTTTCTGATACTTCTTAGAGATAGTAAGATGCAGAGATTAAGAAATGCCTTGGTGGCCCATGAGATGCTCTGTGGTAGCTGATCCCTGTAGTTCTGATGTGATGATAGATGCACTACAGCAGCTTTTGGTAACCCGACGTAGTGGGAAAGATATGGTCTCACATGTTAGAAGCTGGAGGATGGAGCTTATCTATCAGACAAACCTGTGAGAGGATTTCTAAGAAGCTCTAGGTGAAGAACAGCAAAATACAAGTGCTGGTGAAGGTTGCAGATAATGGGAATGCTCGTCCCTTCCTGGTGGAAATGCAAAATGGTGCAACTGCTGTGTCAAGTAGCAAGAAGATCTCTCAAAATTTACCATATGCCTCAACAATCCCATTTCTAAGTATCTTAAGGAAGTAAAATTAGGATCTTAAACAGGTATTGGTAATCCCACATTACCAATAGCCAAAATAAGAGAACAGCTGAATGTCCATAGATAATGAGTAGACAAAAGGGTCATGTATTCATATGACGGAATATTCAGGCTTCAAAAAAGAAATCTCGTAATATCTTACAATATGGATGAAACTTGATGATACTATGCTTGTCTCAGTTACTCTTCTCTCATTACTGGGACAAATACCCAACACCCAAATTGAAGTAAGGAAAGGTTTATTTAGTTCATAGTTATTGGAGGTTTCAGTCCATACTTGGCTGGCTCCAGGGCAGAGCACCAGATGGCAGAAAGCAACCGTTCCTGGCAGAGGCAAAGATAAGAGAGTAAAATGGAGGAGTAGCAGCAACAACGGCAACAGAGAGCAAGTCTGTCTCTCTTAAGTTGCATTCAAGCTATCCACCCAGGCTGGGAGTAGACTCACACCTATAATCCCAGTGGATCATGAATTAATCACAAATTCTGAGAGTCTTCCCCATGATTGCATGAGGTTCTGGGGGACAAATACACACAAACCATATCATTCTGCCCCTGGGCCCCCAAAGACTCATGCACATTCCTTTATGCAAACGACATTTTAGTCCATCTCTAAGAGTTACCAAAGTCCCGAAAGTTTTAGCATTGCTGAAAAGTCCAAGTCTCAAGTCTCCTCCAAGCTCCAAGGCAAAGTCTTATCTGTGAGCCCCTGTACAAAAGAAAATTTAATTCCAACATTCAAAGGCATAAGACAAACATTACCATTCCAAAAGTTACAAACAACAGGGGAATACAAAGTACTGGGACCAACACAAGTCCAAAACTCCAGTGGGACAAACATTAAATCCTATATTTCCATGTGGAACATCCAAAGCAATCTGTGCTGAGTTGTGAGCTCCAAAGGCCTTACATGGCTCTGCCCCTACGGCACTCTTGGTGGTAGCTCCCATGGCATCTCTCTTAGGCAGACTTTGCTTCCTCTTTACAGTTTCCCTTATATGATCCATGTTCCTAGATTTCCAGACTTCTGTGGTTTCCAGTGAATAGGCTTCTCACTCACAGCTTCACATATTGCCCTCCCAGGGGCACACTCCCTGGCTTCCCAGGCCTTCTGACCTTGAGGTGGAAGCCTTTATAACCTCAGAACTCCTGCATTTTGCAAGCACCTAAAACCAACACCACATGGATGATGTCAGGGTCTGCTGTCAGCTAGAGCAGTAGCCAGGCTTCCTTCTCTCTTGGTTCTAGGGGTTGAGTGCCTGGATCACTCGGCATTCTGAGGCTGATTCTTAGGAATAAATTCTCCATGCTGGCACCCTTCTGGAACCTGGGGCTCTGCGGCTTTCCCCACAAGGAAAAATTTCTGACCTTTGCAATTCTGAGGTTACAAAGGGTGGAGACTTTCTGTCTTCTGTGATGCCCTCAGGCCATCCTCTACATATTTTTGTTCCTCCTGGACAATGATGATCTTCTCAGTTCTATCTTTACATTCCACAGCTTTATTGGAGCTTCCTTTCTGGCCAAACTCACATTTAAATCATATTGCTGAGCTCTTTGCTCTTGATTCTCAACATAAATCTGACTAAAAACCCCAACAATATCCATGCCACTTGCTTAATATTTGGCTGCTTTGAGATTTCTTTTGAAAGATTAATCA